TGTTTGTTAAACTCGAATGGACAAGTACATTTTCTCCTCTTAATTATAGAGAGGTTTTTTATATATATTCCTGAACGATGTCCCATTTAAGTAAAGTAGATTAGCGCAATGGTCTTTTCTTCCACTTTTGTGTTATAATCAAAAAGGTGTTTTTTTGGATATTTGTGAGTAGGTACAGTACACGTGACCTGTGACTTCTGCCTTGAGTAAAATAATTACCCATTGATAAGTATTTTTCAGAAAGTAATTTTGGGCTTTCAAGGGTGGAACTCAATAGGTTATCTGAGTCTTTTTGGGATGATCTGGAAACTTAAATTAATAAAAGGAGGAAATGTTATATCAGTCTTGGACTTTCTCATATAACTAGGTATGTTATTGAATTACAGTTTCCAGATTTAGAGAGGCTCATCGACTCTTCCGCAATTATTACAAGATGTACCCACGTTAAGTGAGCTGACTCCAAGGTCAGAGGAAGTCCAAGGGAGGTCTTCCACAGATATAATACAGTTAAGTCTTGTTAGTTAGTGGTTCATATCCAGCATGCATTAGCTAAGAAACGATAAGGCTGTTGGTGTGTTGGCTAATGTAAGGAAAATTGTGTGTGCGTTCATGTGCAAACTTATGTATGCTTTGTTAATTGGGAAGTTCATATCCTAACTAAGTATGAATTACACCTAAAGACGTCATGAGATAATGACCCTTTGACATCTGGAACATATCCAAGTTTAGGAGACCTGACAATGTTCGTGTATGTTGTTTTTATGCGGGTGCGCTAAACATGGTTAGGGAAAATGAGTGTGCGGTTATTTAGAAACCTATATATCCCTATGTAAACTTCTACTGTTGGAGCATTACCTCTTTGACTGCTTGTGTGTAAGGTAATGTTTCCTCATTATTATTGATTGTTGTACAACGAAATAATAATTGATCAACTATATCTGTGTTTGTGTTTTATTGATTCCTCTCTGTTTCATTCTTTCCTGTTGTGAGTGCTGATCTGCCACAACACTGATGTCACGTAACGGCCTGCAGGACAAGCCTTGCCCAGCACCTGCCCTCAGACTTCAGAGAGAAGCTCCTGACCTATCAGCGACATGTGATCAAGCTGAGGAAGAAGCACTCATACCCCCTGGATCAGATGGGCAATGCTGATCAAACGCCTGTTTTTTTTAAATGCCAACATCTGTCACTTAAAGGTAGGGTAGGTAAGTTTGAGAAACTGGCTCGAGATCGCAGGAATTTGAAAATACACAACCGGAGAAAATCTGCCACTTCCTTACAGAGCCCCTCCTCCATCACACACGAACGCGCACATGACCAATGAGGGCACGAGTTAAGTTTGTGCACAGATGGAAGGCTGACAGGCAGGTAGGCCATCCAGTTATTTTAGCCGGGCCGGCTCAGATGATTGGTCGTGCTTTTTACAGTACTACGGCTTCCACAGATGATATTTATTTATGGATTTTTTGTCAAAGCACTTAAGATATTCATTGCTATCTGGATGTTAAGAGCATTCCATGGAATATAACAAACATAAGAACATAAGAACATGAGAACATGATGCGCCGGTGAAGATGGCCGCATCGTCTTTGTGCTCCTCTCCAACTTTGCCCATTTTCGTATTTTGTACATATTTATTTTACTTTTGCCGTTTTACTTTTGGCATGGTTTGCAACATGCTAGCCGACCGCACCTACTCTGCCATACAATATAGCAGAGAGGAACTTCTTTAGCTGCGAAACTTCGTGGACAATAACAACCCTCCGACAGACAATGGAGATTCACCATGGCTACCTGTTGCTGTTCTACCTGAGAGACGCAAGAAGAAGACAAAGCGTGGATGCCGGGCCGGGCTGCTGGTCAGACTGAGGAAACGAGAGAATCGACCCCCTCTTCCGAGTATTCTTCTGGCTAATGTTCAATCCATTGAAAATAAGCTAGATGAACTCAGAAGCCGGATTGTTTTTCAATGGGACATTAAGAACTGTAACGTGTTAATTCTCACTGAGACTTGGCTCAACCCCGCTATCCTGGACTCCGCCATTGTTCCTGATGGATTCTCTATTTTTCGTCAGGACCGGACTGCTAACTCGGGGAAAAGTAAGGGAGGCGGTGTGTGTGTAATGACTAATAATAACTGGTGCTCAGATGTGAAGATTATTTCGTCGGACTGTTCCGCTCATCTAGAGCACCTCATGATCTCATGCCGGGCCTTTCATCTGCCGAGGGAATTCACATCTGTTGTGATAACAGCAGTGTATATCCCCCCGCAGCCACTCGCCGACAACAACACGGCACTCGATCAGCTGTTTGGGATTATTGACAAAACCGAGACTTCACGGCCAGATGCGGCGTTCGTTGTGGCCTGAGATTTCAACACCGCCAACATGAAGAAGGTTTTGCCAAAATATTACCAACACATCAGCTGCCCGACGCGCGGGGGAAACATACTGGACCATATTTATTCCCCTTTCCGAAATGGATACAAGGCTCTCCCTCGCCCTCCCTTCGGCAAATCAGACCATATCTCACTGCTGCTGCTGCCTGCTTACAAGCAGAAACTTAAAAGGGACAGACCGATAACAAGGACAGTACAGCAATGGAGCGAGGAGTCAGATGCAGCACTGCAGGATTGCTTTGCATCTACGGATTGGAGTGTGTTTGAGGACAATAACATCAACACACATACGGACACTGTCATCTGCTACATTGGGAAATGCATCGATGACGTGGTACCGAAGGTTTCTGTACGGACATTCCCAAATCAAAAGCCCTGGATAAACTGCGAGGTGCGTGGCAAGCTGAAAGCGCGCACTATCGCGCACAGAGCTGGAGATTTGGAGGAGTACAGGAAGTCTAGGTATGATCTCCGGAGAGCAATTAACAATGCAAAGAGACAGTACAAAGGAATACGTGGGCGGGACTAAAGGACAATGACTGACTACAAAGGAGCAGCGGGGGGGTGCTGCGGGAGTGTCTGCGTGCGCATCTCTCCCAGATGAGCTAAACAGTTTTTTTTGCACGCTTTGAGAGCAGCCGGGCTGTGGAGGTACAGAGGGACCAGGAGCTACCCTGCCCTTTTGTTTTAAATAGGGCAGATGTGTGTAAATCCTTTAAAAGGGTTAACCCACACAAGGCTCCTGGACCTGATGGCATCCCTGGCCGTGTTCTCAGGGTGTGTGCAGTTCAGCTGGCAGAGGTGTTCACAGACATCTTCAATAGGTCCCTGTTGCACTCCGTAGTCCCCACATGCTTCAAACATTCCACTATCGTTCCTGTCCCCAAAAAGACAATAATCACCTGCCCCAACGACTACCGCCCAGTAGCACTCACCTCCACCATAATGAAGTGCTTTGAGCGGTTAGTCAAATCATTCATCACCTCCTCCCTCCCTGAATCTCTGGACCCCCTGCAGTTTGCCTACAGAGCAAACAGGTCCACAGACGACGCCATAGCCCTCACCCTCCACACTGCCCTCTCACACCTGGACCCGAAGAACAGGAACACATATGTGAGAATGCTGTTCATTGACTACAGTTCAGCATTCAATACCATTGTGCCCTCCAAGCTGGCCATCAAGCTCAGAGACCTCGGGCTCAACAGCGCCCTCTGTGACTGGATTCTGAACTTCTTGACGGGCAGACCCCAGGCAGTGCGGGTGGGAAACATCACATCCTCCACCCTGATCCTCAACACCGGTGCCCCTCAAGGCTGCGTGCTCAGCCCTCTCCTCTTCTCCCTGTTCACCCACGACTGCGTGGCCACACACAGCTCCAACACCATCGTGAAGTTTGCTGACGACACGACCGTCATCGGCCAGATCACAGACGATGACGAGACGGCGTACAGAGAGGAGGTCGAAAACCTGACATCTTGGTGCCAGGATAACAACCTCCATCTCAACATCAGCAAAACAAAGGAGCTGATTGTGGATTACAGCAAGCAGCAGGGAGAGGGACACGCCCCCATCGCCATCAATGGGACTACGGTGGAGAGAGTCAAAAGCTTCAGGTTCCTTGGGGTCCACATCACTGAGGACCTGACATGGTCTCTTCACACCACCACCATCACCAAGAAAGCTCGACAGCGGCTCTTCTTCCTCCGCAGGTTGAGGAGGTTCAAAATGGATTCCAGGATACTCTGCAACTTCTACAGGTGCACGATAGAGAGTATCCTGACTGGCAGCATGACGGCCTGGTACGGCAGCTGCACCGACCTCGATCGTAAGGCTTTACAGAGGGTGGTGAAAACTGCACAGCACATCACCAGGACGGAGCTGCCATCCATGGAGGACCTTTACTCCCAGCGGCTCAGGAAGAAATCACTACGGATTATCAAAGACCCCCATCACCCCAGCCACAAACTGTTCTTTCTGTTGCCGTCTGGCAGACATTACCGCAGCATCCTGGCAAGGACAAGAAGATTCGGAGACAGTTTCTTCCCGCGGGCAGTGAGACTGTTAAACAATTGAACTGTTGAAACAACTTCAAAACATTCATCTGCTACTCAGTATTATGTATCTAATACCTAATATATATATATATATATCATTCCAATAACTTGTATATAGACTCGTACTGCATTATTCCACATCATCACTTTATTTTATAACTATTTTTCTTTTTGTATTGCTCTTGCTCTTATTGTTATGTTATTATGTTGCATTGTTGGAGAAGCCTGTGACATAAGATTTTCAACTACATAATTACTCTGTAGCTATGTCAGATTGACAATAAAGAACCTTGAACCTTGAAAAAGTGTATCTCGAGCCGGTTTCTCAAACTTACCTACCCCACCTTTAAGGTAAACTTCGAGTTTGATAACCAAAGTAGAGTTTGGCACTCCAAGTAAATAATTAAGAATGAATTATTAAACCTGCTCAAGCAATATATGCTAAAGAATATTCAGTTCAGATAGATCTGATTCTTCTCACAACCAATAAAGTTTGAAAAGAGGAGCAGTGTGTGTGGAAACAGCTGTGGTTTTATGGTGAGCTTTACCTCCTCCTCAGAGACGTTGTTCTGCAGCAGATGTACATCCAGTATTTGTTCCTCTCTGCCCGGGGGTCGTAGGAACACCAGAACTTGGCCCTTTATCCGCAGAAGCAGAAACCTTTTAAGGATGTCCCAGACCAGGCCAAAGAAAGAGAGGTGAGGCACCTTCACCACCACGTGAGTGGGTGTGACCTCCAGCGGCTCCAAGATGCTCAGGCCTTCATCCGTGATGTGGACGACAGACAACAGGCCGTCCAGGAGCAGCGCTGTGGAGCAAAGAGCTGGTCATCTGTTGCATTGCTGCTGAAACAGCTTCATCATATTCAATGTCACACCACTTTAGTTCAGAGCTAATGTTCATCTAATGTCATTCACTTTGGAGCCTCACTAGGATGTACCAGTTTATATCCTCCACCTTTTATTCTAATGTTTCATTATTGTTCCACCCCCTGTGATCTTTCTGGATGGGAGCATTTACTCTAATGCATAAACTTTATTAATTATTTTTGTATTTATAAGAATGCTGAATTGTTTGTCAGAACAGCTTGACTGTGTCCGATCTCATGTCTGAGTGATTCTCTAGATGTGTGAAGAGTTTTCTAAAGCAGGGGTTCCCAACCTTTATTGTGCCAAGGACCGGCAGATACATTAAAAAAAAATCACCATTTTTTTTTTACTCACCACCAGCAGGTAGCAACAGAGGCTAATTGTATGTAACAGCCTGAACAAATACTAGAACAATATGCATCCAAAACATATTAACAAATTTTAAAAAAGAACCGGTGTTGTTTTTTGGTTTTTCGGAAAACCAAAAAACCGACGTTATTCAGTTTTTAAACCAAAACGGGAAAACAGATAAATCAACGTTTTGGTTTTGTTTGTATGATTTACGGATAATCCGGTGAATGCTGGGAAAACGAGGAGAAGGCGCATTATGAAGGAGGTGTGTGTGTGTGTGTGTGTGTGTGTGTGTGTGTGTGTGTGTGTGTGTGTGTGTGTGTGTGTGTGTGTGTGTGGCATTTGTTTTCAGAAGATATTATGATAGTGTCGTTCGTTCCGGTGCACTCCCGACAGCATTTAGCACTACATCGAGATTAAGATTAAACTAATTTATTTTGGGAACAGCCGCATAGATGGAGTTAGCCATATGTGTGTAAATTACTGTTCATAAATATTTGAAAACAAATGCCGGTGTCGGACAGACACAAACACACCGAACACACAGAGCTGAGCTGAGCAGAGCACATACACAAACACATCATGCGCCTTGGTGACTGACTGGACATCTCCTTCATAAAACTAATACAAGGGGGAGTAATCGGGCAGTTCGATGTGTGTAGAGATGTGTGTAGAGGTGTGTGTGTGTGTGTAGAGGTGTGTGTGGTTAACACGTAGCAGCCTGCAGTCACTCTTTTAAGCTGTTCTGAAGTTAAACACAGCGAATGCGGTGCGTAAAAAGGCACAGCTCTTTACCCGTTGGTGCTGCACTTCTCAGAGGCGGAGTATACGTCCCGCTGCCTCCTGATGCTGCAGCCATTTCATGAAGTGAAGGAGGGTTTCCTTCTATAAAACAGCTGCGGGCAGCAGATACCGTGAGAGTCCTGGACATTAATTCATAGATCAAGGCAGACTGGTTTACTCTCCTGTTTTGCCAATCCGGTGCTTAAAAAGCTTTACACCCCTGGCTGACATGTCCTTAAAATGAAGTCCGAGTTTGAAATATATCTCAAATAATGTATGCACCACCATTTCCCCACATAAACATAACAGTCTGCAATCAAACGGTTGTCTCCTGTGCGCTCCTCTTCCTACTTGGCGCACCGGTAACATTCTCGTGCGAGGCTGAGACCTTATGCTGCGTTCACACCGGACGCGATGCGATGTTTGGGGGCGGCGCGATTACATGTAAAGTCAATGCAGAGACGCGGACAGACGCGGACAGACGCGGACAGACACGAATTCGATCCGACGGCGAGCATGAAGCCGTGGACGCGGCGCGAATCACGCGATTGAACGGTGCCGCGTTAAACGCGAGAGTTCCATTTTTTCAACTCGAGCGTCAAATTCACGTGACGCGGTAGCCAATCAGCGGTGAGGATCTCAGCCTGCCGTCACTGACGTTCAACCACACAACATCAGCCGTTAGCTATTAGCAGTTAGCACACAGAGCTCACAGCTCCTCATATCTGTTCAGAAACAAGTACAAACCACAGACTGTCTGTGTCATGGCGAATACAGTCGCTGGTTTATTTATGTCTGTAGGCCGTTGTTATGAGTGTGGAATGAGCATATACAACGTTAGCTTAGCCTGGTCGACCCGATCTTCATTCAGAAAACAAGCATTTTAAAAGGTTTTTCGCCTGCCGTCTGTCAGACTTGTCAAAGCATTAATTCATGGTTTTTACTAACCGGTATCAGTATGTTGTTACTTCGGCATCATTTTGAAACGTGTATTACAATTTAATCACAGTAAAATATGTTCATTTTGTTGTAGTTGTAGCTCCCGAGCCAGCGCGTCTTGTTTGAATGATGCGAGTAAACACAGCTGACAGCCGCGGTGAAACTCCCGCGTTTAGAGCGATGCGATAGGAGCGATTAGAGCAAAGCGAATATTCGCATCGCGTCCGGTGTGAACGCAGCACTAGGCTGAGCCGCCGAATCCCTCGGAACATCATAAAAAGCCATTTTCAACGGTTTTCTGGTGAAAGATTAACTAGCTACTGAATGAAATAATATGACTGGTGGCAAAGGTGCGAAAATTAAACACTTTTTGAAAAAAATATTATGATAATAAAATATTTTTATATATTTATAATTCTGCAAATATTACGATAAACTCACAGCTATTTCGCGGCCCGGCAGTAACACCTCCGCGGACCGGGGGTTGGGAACCCCTGCTCTAAAGCTTTCAGGGCGTAGAAAGTCTAACTTATAAATGTTGTTGTCTGTTGTTTTGTTTTGTTCATGCTTCAGCCAGACTGACAATGTAAAGAGCAGAAAGAGCAACAGATGGATAACAAAGTAAGAATTAATCAAACTGCTAGCTTAGCATCACAACAGTAACAGAGAGTTAGCGTTGAGTTAGCACTGTTAGCAGCTGAGCATGCTGTGGACTGACCAATCACAGTTTAAATGTCTTTCATATTACAGTGAAGAGACTGTTTGGTGTCTGAATTATACAGTTGTTATCTTTGTTAAACTAGTTTAATAAAGCTGCTTCATAACCTTTGAGCGGTAGTGGATATTAAAAGGTGCCACAGAAACCTTATACAAGTGTATATTTGTTAACACTAGATGTCCTTACCATCCTCTGTCTCACTGTGTAGCAGGTGGAGCTGGCAGACAGCAGCTTCATCAGAACTCTTCACGTCGAACAGCGGCCCTGCTGCCTGCTTGCCAGCTGATTGGAGGAGGCTCTCTTCCCAAGGGACCGTCCTGTACAGAAGCTCCGCCTCCTGAGCCATGACGAACACCAGGCCAGTCGATGCACACTGGAACTCACCTGGACCAGGACACCTGAAGCTGTAGACACACAGGGGACAAGTTACTACAACAAGCCTTCACTGGCCTGTGTTCTGACTGACAGGTGTTCATCCAGCTGGAATCTGACCTGGAGGAGGGTTTGTTGAAAGATCTGAAACACCTGATGATTACAGGAACATCACTGAATGTGTCCACATGCATCAGTATGTGTGTGTACACAAAATGTCATTAAACTAGAA